ACCAATTCACACTGTTTAACCAATTATCATGCATTCACAAGAAGCCATACAATAAGTCATTTCAGTGTCAGATTTATATTCTTTCATACGCTTTCAGTCCGTCAATGTTGAACAAGACAATGCTAGGTACATGTTGAAAGTTTCGCAGATTTAAGTATATATATACTGTACAAGGGAGAGGTGATTATATAGTGTTCGCTTCTCTGTAAAAATGATTACTGTGTACAGGGGAACAGGGGGTTTAATCATAAAATAAATTGGTAATACCCCGGTAATTTATAACAATTGAAAAGTCATTAGTTTAAAATTTTCTGAAGAATTTGACAAATGGTTGATCTGTGAATGGCTATTAGCAATTGGTAGACAGATGAGAATCCTATGATATCCAAATCAGTTCAGGTTTTATATATAATTTCAGGAAAATATCTTAGAAATGTATTTGGCAGCATAACCACCGATCCCAAGTATACTGTAAAATGACTAATTTTCACTGGGTTTAAATTTCGCTGATTTACCATTTCAGGCATATTCAATGGGTTTTAAATTCATGGTTTTATCATTTAGAAAATGTGTTCTATGCTGAATTTTTACATATTTACTGGGTTTTAATTTCGCGCATTTTCCAGTCAGTGAAATGAGCAACAGTGAATAATTAACCTTTTTACAGTACTGTAAATGCGATCCATATAAAAATAAGTGCCTCCATGTGGATGCAGAGTTTGACACCAATGAGAGGCTCTAATCACTCGGTTAATAACCTGCATGCATTTGAACTTGACACCAGTATTGTACATGTTGAGTGGTGTGGGTGAATTACACTTGTACTGGTAGTAATTTGCTCAATCAGAGCTGGGATAGAGTTCGGGCTTTGTCATTTAAATTGAGGGTCATTGTTTCTACTATATAGTTGTGGTACAAAGAATGAAAACACTTGTTATTATATTGTGACAATCGATGATAATGTCATAAACGCGAGGTGTTTGAAAACAGATTTGTGCACAGTTGTCAGAGCAGAAATTTCAGCAGGTCATCTCAGCACGAGCTCCTTCGCTACGTCATCTATTTAGTGTTTGGTAGACGTATAATAGATATCCATTTAATTCTTTATTCCCGATCAATAGAGAGGTAGGTCTGGCATTCTAAACTTTATCTAACAGGTTCCAATTTATATGTCAAGTTTGTATTTTAACTTGGATTTGTTTTGCACTTTGCTTTGCTTCTTCCATGCTTTATATACTGATGACATTCCTCGGGTTATACTTCTTGACTTGAATTCTTCTGCTGAATTTAAAGTGTTATTATCTTGGAATTTAAAAAGTCTGTCAATTGTGTTTTGTGGTGTTGTTCGCATAAACCGATATTCCCTCCCTTGCAATCTACTTGTCTAATGTACCTTGAGTGTGCGTTTTGTAATCACTTACTGTCATTCGAACACAACTGCATCGCAAATTTGTGTCTAGGTATTGTTCAGTGGGGTGGAAATAGAATACCTCAATGACAAACCCATTTCACCATTTTGCGTTATTGTCCCGTTCACTTAGATATTGTCCTGCAACTTCTGCAACGGTACGTTCTGTCAGAAATTGTATCTGTCTGTTAACCTCTTTAATTTTTGGAAGAATTACAGACGTAGTCACAAGTACTTTCAAAGAAATCAGTCCGTGAGAACGCCCTCAGATGATCAAATCATGTACATTTTTATTAATATAAATTTCGCCAAAACAATTGTGTATTGATATATTTTTCAGACTGCATTCTAATTATCATATTGAATGGTGAATTTGAATTTGAAAACTGCGTTTTTGATATTATTGATACTGACTGCATTGGCCAAAGTGTGCTCTGCATAACTGGTGAACTTTTAATTCAAAGATTAATGTTTTCATAAACTTCTATTCATACTGCAACTTTGTTTTTGGAAAGGTATTCTCAGGGAATCTCATGAAAACTGTATTCACAAGAAATGAGAATCAAATTGCTCCACTGTTGAGATTCATCGGCTGCTTGCTTCATCAATAAAAATAAAAACGTTTTCTTAATACTATATATAGCGTGTGATGTTAGCCATCCTTGCGGGATTTCACAGTCAGATCCTTGGCTAATTGAATTGCTGGTCCTGTCTTGGTGTCTGCATAGCTTGTCATTAAGAGAAGCAGCCAGGCATTCTAAGTACAAGTGCCCCAAAGCTGTGTTTTGTTTTTCAGTCTGTATGTGACCATTTGAGTGTAATGAGTGGTTTGCCGATTGGAGATCTGGTATGAATGCGTTTTGACGTGCCATATGTGTATGTTCAAACTGCAATAAGAATCTTTGGAAGACGTTCGTCCAACGACATTGTACTTTAATACTTGTATTTGTATATATGAAATTTTTCATAAAATTGTTCAACTGTAGTTGAAAAAGCTGGGAAAAGTAAGAAAATTAGGGATCTTCAGTTACCATGGAAATGGGTTTTGCAGAAATTCATTTGTCCTACTCCCCAAACTATTAAAAAATCTCACCTACTGTATATGATATAAAAGAAGCGCATGTAACCGAACGACTATCTTTATTGTTTACTGGATAGACACACCTCTGTCATTTATGTAAGCGCTCGGACTACTATTAAAGCAAATATGGTATTCCATATGATGGGTTGGTCATTCTATTTTTATCTGCAGCATTTGGTAATTCTGATCGACGACTGAGGTGACTAAAGGTGATAATATGTGGAGTTGTCAGCGTTCTTATCACCCTTGTCTGCTTTCTGATTTGTCTAATTTGTTTCATCCAATATTTGCTTAAATTTGAGAAAATTAACGAAAACTGAAAAAATCTGTCAATTGTTAAATATAATACAATTATGTAACTCATTTAAATAAATATATTCATCATGATAACATAGCTGTGATTTCAAGATACGACTTTCCCTGTCTTGTAATACAACGCATTGTACTGATTAAAAAATCTGGTTAATATTGTTAATTAATTAATCATGCTCTTTTTCACTTTCTCGCAGATTAATACTCATTGCATCGGCTTAAAATTCACAAAGACTGCATAATGACGGAATTACGGGATCGGAGCGCTGAAACAAACTTATTTAATAATTCCAGTAACAAAGATGAACTCCCGCCAAAGAATCCAGACACGGTCTCCCGAGTAAGCGATGTTGAATTGAAACGACAGGTGGGCCTCATGAGTGGCATTGCGCTCATCGTGGGAACCATGATCGGATCGGGTATTTTCGTTTCGCCCAAAGGTGTGCTACGACAGACAGAAAGTGTCGGGATGAGCTTGATAATATGGTTAGCGTGCGGTGTACTTTCAATGCTAGGTATGTAGTAGATAGATTTGTAGTTTTTATAGCCGCTAAACATAGCTGTGGTTTCTTGTAAAGCAAAATTGTCGTTATAATCCCTATCATGATTGAAATTGTGAATGAAATGAATGTACGAGTTTGTACTTTCTCAAAGTTGGCGTAAACTTTCAACTGCAGTACATGTCACTTAAAATAAAAAAGACTGTTCACCGGCCTACTTTCCTAAACACTACGTATTCTGTGAATATCTGTGGTACCGGCCGGGGATGTGTGCCTTATTTTTCAATTTTATGCTGCACATCTTCTCGCCTACTGGTACTCATATTTTTTAGTCGTAACGTATACAATTATAATATAATAGTAGATAATTATTGTGAAGCGCTTTCTGCGTGAATCTAATTAAGATGCGTCAAATCTGACTGAATATTTTGGAGATGTATGTGTAGGATAAACTGACAACTTAATGACGTCAATTCACAATCGTTTAATTGTCGCTAATTTCAGTTTTATCATCTAACTTTCGCACACATCTTATCTAACTGTGTGATTAAGTTAATCTCTTCTCTGCTAATCCTTTTATTTAGAGTCAATCAGCTTTAAAATGCTTGCTCATCAAATTCAAGTTTATTTTTAGATAGATACGAGCAACGCACGTTTTGTGGAGAGGTTTTTTAATTTGGAAGATTTCATTTTTATCAACCCTGTTTTTCTCCCGGATTTATAGTGATTTCTTGGTGACACTTTCAGACTTTGCGAAACAGCATCAGGTACCGCTACCGTTCTAAGCATCTTGATATGCTAATGAATCGGTTTAGTATTGAATCATAGACCTACGTAGACCTAACTAAAAAGAAGGCTTCAATGTTCATTAGGGGGAAAAATACCCTTAACCTATACTGTTAAACAAACCCAGAAACTCTGGCTTGTGTCGTAACCCCAATCAATACATTTGCCGCTCACATGTATCATGCATATTACTTTTCGTTCCCATGCTGTGATTACGATAACAGGACGATGACTGCTTGCATCACAAAATGTTATTATGAGAAACACATGCTGTAACTTTTCCTGCAAAATGCTACTGCACTTGCTGCTAAATCTCTGTTCCATGTTCTGTTTTAAATTCCACCAGTTTGACTTTATTTGTCGCTCCTGAAACGATAAAAAAGAAAAAATTATTTTTGTTTACAAATTCAGGGGAAAATGGCTACTCTTCAAGATGTTAATCATGGATAGTAAGTTATTCTGTCTGCTGTTCTAAATACAAAAAAAAAAGGAAAATATTTATATTTTGGGAGAATATTCAGGGAAATCTTTTATAACTGTCGTTATAAGCAGACAAGACAACATGCAGGTTGCAAGATTTGTATGATTAGAATAGAAAGACTTAAAAAAAAGGATGAATTCGAATGTCTTGATATTTTGCTACACTCTGTAGGAGCAATATGCTATGCAGAACTTGGCACAATGATTCCAAAATCTGGTGCAGAGTATGCTTATCTTAACGAAGCTTTCGGGCCCGTCTTTGCTTACCTCATGGCATGGACTTACATCGTAGTGATTCGTCCATCTTCGATGGCTGCTATCACGCTAACATTTGGAGAGTACGTTGTAGCCGCCATCATGAAAGATTGCCCGACACCTGCCATTACCTCTAAGCTCTGCGCCGCCGCTGCTACTTGTAAGTAACAGGTGAAAACAAAGTAAGCTGTAGAAATCACCTGTAGAGGGAGGTGTTAAACACTTTTGCAGTTTGTTCCTCGCCTTCAGCAACAGATTTGAAAGATTTGCTACTGGCTGTGCTTCTTCCTGCGTCTTCTAACTTTCCACGTCATTTTTTCTTTAATTCAACCCAAAATACAAGAATAAAGTGACTTTTAAGAACAAACACCTGCTTTAAAATGTTATCCTGTAAATGTGTGCATGTGGTTGTTTTTATTGTTGTCTGTGTAACGCAAGTCTTTCTTGTTGTCATGTGTATCCTGTAATACGACAGTCAGAGCTTTTCATTTCTGTTTTCTGAGGGTAAATTTTTGTCGCTAAGCACCAAAGAATGTTTGATTTGCTACACTGTACATTTCAAATCACAAACTGCAGAATTGTTTTATAGCACGATGTAAAATTATTTTAGCATGTTCTAAAATGTACTCATGTTTTTGTTTCTCAATGTTTTCAGGAGCTGTATCATATGCAGAACTTGGCACGTTTATTCCCAAATCCGGAGCAGAGTACGCTTATCTTTTTGAAGGATTTGGGGGCATCCCAGCTTTTCTTTTTGCCTGGATATCTGTTGTGATCTTAAGACCCGCTAGTGTCGCAGCGATTGCGCTTACGTTTGGTAACTACGCTGCACAACCCTTCTTTCCCTACGGCTGTGAAATCCCCGACATTGTAATCAAACTGCTTGCTGGATCGTGTATTCGTAAGTTTACCGTGTTGTTGTGTTGTGCTTTGCATGCATTCTTTTTTTACTCCTGAAGTTGCATTGATGCATTTGAAAGGATAAACCTCACTACCGTTAAATCTGTATTAGAAGCCTCATCTCTAATAGAAGTCGTACCCATTTTCTTTGAAAAATTTAGAATAAAAAAATTCACCATTTCTCATATGTGTAGATGCTCTAATAGAAGCCACATCCCCTCTGTTGAATTGTACCATTTTAATAGAAGCCGCGGTTTCTAATACAGATTTTACAATATTTAATATTTACCAATAACTTATCATGAATCTTTGAATATTAATTTATAGTTTGTTAGTTTTGGCATCTCATTATTAAATCCCTATTCTATGACTGACTTACTCCCATAATGCCTGTGTCAGATTCATGTTGAGAATAAGGTAAAATTAAATATCAAATTTATTCTTTCATTTTTCATTGCTTTTTCCTGCTCTTAAACTGAAATTTAATTTGTATTTGCGCATTGCTGTGCATCACATGACGTTATGCAAGTTTGAAAGGAAATTGTGTAGTCATGGTAACAACTAATGGTGTACTTGAATCTTTTTCTAGGGAGATATGGTATCTACTCTGAGTTAAGGACATAATCTCTTGCATGCTTTCTGTTTTTCTTTGATTGATAATTAATTAATTACAAAATCTTTATAGAGTGCAACAATCGTTGTACAGCGCTATGTTCGATATGTGACAGATACAGTGCTGGTAAAATACATTCATTATTTACGTGAAATTCGAACACGCGCTCTGTCACGACTGGGGCACTTTAATGGGTGTATTGAATCTGAAGATCAGTTTCTGAGTTCATGCCCTCACTACTCCTTGTTTTGCTCAGTATCTGACCTGATCGATTATCAAAAACATATGGTTTGTCAGATTTGCGTAACTGGAGGAAGAAAAAAAAGATTAATATTTTTTAGTAGATTGAAAAGTCCAGTCAGACAAGATTAAATGTGACACCATATTTTGCAAGTCAACGTAATGGGGTCATAACTTATTTTGATTCTGCAGAAATCGTATGTTTTTGAAAATATTCAACAAAACCAACAAAACAATCGTATGAATTCAGAAGCAGTTTATTGTTACATTTTTTGAAATTTGAGTAATTAAATAAAAGAGAAGATTTGTACATTAAATTTCAAGTTCAGTTCGACAGTACGGTTTGTTAAGAATCATAATTTCATAATATTCGTTTTTCTTCTTACACTTAGTAATCATAGCGTGGGCGAATTGTTACAGTGTGCGGTTAGCCACGTCGGTGCAGAATGTATTTACGGTAGCCAAGCTATTAGCAATTGCTATCATAATCATGACTGGGTTCGTCAGGCTTGGCCAAGGTAATGTATGTTCACATTACTTAACAGGATTAATTTAATGTTTTTCCTGTCGTATTCATGTGAATTTCATTCTCAAAATGCTCATAAGTTGCACTTATAGTTGTACATTTTAAACTTTTCTATCTACTATTATTAATCCTATGTGAATTTCACACAAACTATAATATTTTTTCAGGCCATACTGAATATTTAAATAGAAGTTTTGAGGGATCATCAACAAATGGATTTGCATATGCAATAGCTTTTTATCAGGGACTATGGGCATATGATGGATGGTAAGTTATAAGAGTATGTTTTAATACAGATGATTAATTTACATATTTTATTGTCACTTTTATCGTTAAAAATTAATTAAGATTGCTCAATCAGTCTTACTTTTGCAGAAGATAATATACCAAACTCGTTAGACTTAGCATCCAGGTTACTCAACTCCAGAAATTGTGTTTTTAGTGGGGGAGGGGTGCTTAGCCAAGCACCCTGAAACATTATGCTAATGATGATTTTTGTATAACATGTGTCAGATTAGGAGAAATATTAAGTCTCTTTTGGGGAAATTGTGAAATTAGTTCAATTGTTCAAAAAAAATGCTCAAATACCAGATTTTATGATGAGACAGTCAAAAATTGGAGTAATTTAGAAGGGTTGGGTGCTTAGCCGAACATGACTACCAAAAATAGAAATGCTCCAAGTGGTGGGTGGGTTTAGAGTCGAATATGGGCGCTAAGTCAGATGAGTGCAGTATTGACAGGTCTGTGTGATGTTAGAGCGCCACCTATGTTCACAATTCATTCTTCTTCTTTTTTTTTCCAGGAACAATCTCAACTACGTAACAGAAGAAATCAAAAATCCATACAGGTAAATTTGAAGTAATTTTAACCAATTTATGTAAAAACAGAAATTATTTTGAGCTTTCAAAATGAGTAATTTTTTCAAATAAATATTTCAGAACAGTTTTATTTAATACACATTTCTCAAAATGCTTGTTCCACAGGAATTTACCGCTGTCCATTATGATTGGTATTCCCTTGGTAACACTTTGTTATTTACTTGTAAATATCTCGTACTTCACTGTCATGTCGCCAGATGAGTTACTTGCTTCTAGTGCTGTTGCCGTGGTGAGTATTCTAATGAATACAGAAAATATGGCCCTATGAGGTCACTTGAATTAGTAGGATCATTAGGTCAATGAAATGCGTGTGTGATCTCTATGATGTAATCAAAATATGTGTGATGACCCAGGTCACTGAAATGTGACCTCTGACCTCAAATTGATGCATAAGGCAGGTTATTGACCTAGTACATTCAGATTCAAGTCTACAATAGTTTCTTGAATTTTTTGAAAAAAATTGCCCTTCCCCGCAAGGAATTGTATTTCTACTGTGGAATGAAGAGAATTGTGTTCATCTGTATCTTGACATCTTTTCTAATTCCACTATTATACCGCCCTCAATGTGCTTTTAATTTGCTTTTTTGAAATAGTATCTTCAAATATATCTTTAAAATTCTAATTGCACGAATACCCTATTTCATCTTGTAAACACTTTAAATTTTAAACAAACAAAAAACAACTTTAATGTTCAGATTTTTGTGTGTGATAAATCATTAAAGATGTCTGTGTGTCGCACAGTTCTTGGATGGAACAAACGCACTGTGCACCTGGTTGTCAACACTTATGTTAATGAGCCCCTACCCCCACTGCAAAGGAATGATGAGCCCCCACCATGAATATCACTCTGTTGCTTGACCACACTATGTCATACCATTTGTGTTCGCTAGGATGGATTATGGTAATAACCAAATTTGACCTGCTAAAATTTGCTTAAATCTATGTTCTTTTGTTCTTGGGTCAATTTTAAGGTTATTGGACATAATCCATTGTGGTGGACAATGTTTGCTTGTTATTCTGTCTCTGTGCATGTCACTTCAACTAACTCTGACCTCTTTTGCATATAATTTGCATATATTAATTTACTTGCGTTAATTAGACGAGCGTGGTTACAAAATAACGATTGAATAATGCATGTTTTATGTAAAACATAACCAATCAGATTATTTGTTGCCAGAGTGTGAACTACTCGTAAAGCTTGTTATAAAAATATAGCAATCGAATGATTTTTAGGCAACATTGAAGATTCTTGTTATAAAACCAAACCAATCATGACCCTTGTTATAAACCAAACCAA